CGGGTTTTCGAGTTAACCCGACCCGACACGAAATGGGAGGAACTTCGTCGAAGTCGCAGGAGTTCGGGTTGACTAGCAGCCAGCGCGGATGGAGGGAGAGGCGGACGGCGTCGAGCTCATCTCGTTGATTGGACAGGAACGTCTTCGACGCCTCGACGGCGGGAAAGAGAGACGGCGGGTCACGGGGTCAGCCCGTCAGGCAAAGTGGCTGACCGACGTGATGTCTAACTGCGGGATGACGCGACGCAAACATCTGACTTCCTGAGATGACGTGATTTGACAAGACGAGACGCAGAGGCTGAGCTGAAGCCTAACGCGACATGGGATAACAATTGACATGGGCGGGTGAGCTGACTCGGACGTGGTTTCTGGGTCAGTTCGGGTCAATGTCGGGTTTCCAAGTCAACACAGACCCGACCCATTTTTTCAAATGGATCAAAACCTTTAACCCGAACCCGAAACGGGTCGGGTTCGGGTTGACCCAAACCTAAAATTTTCGTGTCGGGTTCGAGTTGGGTTTTCAGATCTTGTCAAATACTGACACCACTAATTATGCTCAAATTAATTTATTAAGATTTTTTTTTTTTATGAGCGAGTTTAAAACTGTTTAAAGAAATTTTTTTAAAGAGTTAAAGTTATCCAAACTATTAATAATAGAATGTAAGCCATACCTACTACAAAACATAAAAAAATAAATGTAAAATATAGTTAAAGAACAAAACAATTACTACTAATGTCCAAACTAATAAACCTAAAAGCCAACTTAATGACATAATCTAATATTATCTATGACAAAAATCTATTATTGATGGATATATTTATATAATAATGTGTATGCATACATTTAAAAAAAAATATCTGATTGAGATGGATGCTTACTATTAATTATCTCTTATTAAAAAAATAGAAAATATCATTCTTTTGTTTGTTGAAATTCCTTATAATTTATCAATAATACTAACTCTTTAAATTTTTTATAATTTAGGTTTAGGATACTATCATGAAAAAAAATAGCAAATATAACCAAATTTTCATATTGGATGCCAATTAATATACCTTTAAAATTATTATTATTATTATTATTATTATTATTATTATTATTATTATT